GGGATCGGGCAGTGTTTCGTTCTGCTGTGCATGGGGTCACTATGAGTCGGAAACGACTCGACGGCACTTAACAACAACAACAACAACAACAAGGAAATGACAGGGTCCTCTAAGGAAATGCCAGGGTCCAATTAGCTGTTGGCAGGGGAAATTGGGACCCAGTGATTTTAAGATTTGCCTGTATATGTAAAGAAGGGAAAAGACAACTTGAAACTAACTCTTCTGGTTCTAAGTTAGTATTCTTTTTATCTTTTTGGTCTCAAAATAAAACTATTCAATTAGCTATCAGAGAGATGGCAAATCAAAACAACAGTGAGATACCATCTTGCCCCAGCATTAATGGCAAAGTTCAAGAAGACAGAAAATGGTAGATGCTGGTGAGGATGTGGAGAGATTGGGACTCTCATATACTGCTGGTGGGACCGTAAAATGATCCAACAACTCTAGAAAAAAGTATGGTGATTCCTTAAAAAGCTCCAGAAATACCATTTGACCCAACAATCCCATCACTAGATATATATTCTAAAGAAGTGAGAGCCAGGACAAGAACAGCTATATGCACACTCATGTTCATCGCAGCACTATTTAAAATAGCAAAAAGATGGAAACAACCTATATGCACATCAACAGAAGAATAGATAACCAAGCTGTGGTACATAAACACAATGGAATACTATGCAACCCTAAAGAATAATGTAGAATCTGCAAAACACTGCATACCATAGATGAACTTGGAGGACATTATGTTGAGTGAAAGAAGTCAATCACAGATGGACAAATATAGTATTATAGTATTAGTTCCTTATTGTAAAAAGTCAAAGAAAGGTTTATACATGGAAGGGAACTTTGTTGGTTACCAGGGGTGGGAGGGGAGGGGAGGGAACACTGCAAAAAAAAGAATGCGCTGACCCATGTCACTTTAGTTCTGTGTATTTCACAGTACATAAATTATATTTCAATAAAATGCATTTAAAAAATCATGAATAAAACATAAAATAAAACTATTCAGAGGAAGTTTGGGGACAACTTGCTATGGCATGTCCTAGATGAATAATCCAATTATTAATACAATTTGTCATTTTATCTTATTTCAGGAGAAACAGGCACATCTATATTGTTCTAGAATGAAAGTTACTATAAATATGTTAGATTATATAATAATTTGATTCTAAATCCATGGCAGGTTAATCTCTAATTTATGGACATTTTTGGAATGATTAGCAGGTAAAAATTGTTAATTTGTGCCTATTTAAGAAAGAACAGAGGTACTTTTGGGCACATAAACAGAGACTGAGTATTGGGACATTTCCACAGTCTCAAAATAAACTTGGCAGCATTAATAATTTGTTTTAAACATTGTCTAACCACAGAGAATAGTAACATAGATTCTACAATGCAAGTAATTCATGTTCTCTTGGAACAAGTTATATTTACTGCTTTTAGTAATAACTGTCTTTAAAAACTTAGCCATTTTTGTATCTTTGTTTTCCTTAGAAAATGACTTACATAAAGGGAACTGTAACCAGGTGAGTGTCTCTTTTTCTCTGAGTTCATGTTTGGCAACATAGGTGTGTCATTCTGACTTTAAGACTCATCCAAAATTAATGGTGCCTTTCTGTTTTCTTGCAGTTCCTGCAAGGACCAGGCCTGTGGGTAAGTCCCAAATACTTCTCATCTTGAGGCCACCTCCCTTTCCAGGTTACAGCCACAGCCTCTGTCTGTGCTTGTTTACTGTCTGACTTTATGAGGAAGCAGACTTGTTTTTCTCTCTTGGGTAAGAAAGCAGATTTCTGGTTTATATGGAATTATACAATGTTGTCTTAGTTTCTCAGTGCTGCTGTAATAGAAGTATCACAAGGGGTGGCTTTAACAGACAGAAATTTATTTTCTCATCATTTAAAAGGCAAAAAGTCTGAATTCAGGGCACTGGCTCTAGAGGAAGCTCACTCTCCATCAGGTCTGGAGGAAAATCCTTGTTTTAGCTTTTCTAGCCGACCATCTTTGGTGTTCCTGGGATTGTACATTAGTCTGCCTGCATCGTTTTAGGATAGTGTCAGTCTTCCTGGAGTCTGCCTTATTTTGTGCCTAATTTGCTCTTTTGTATCTCAAAAGTTGCTGATGTAAGATACATCTTACACTGACATAGCCTGATTAACATAACAAAGAAAACCCTATTACCGAATGGTATTACAACCACAGCTATTGGAATTAGGGTTTATGGCATGTATTTTTGGGGGACACAATTCAGTTCTTAACAACTATTGTTTAGATTGAGCTATGGTGGTGTAGTGTCTAAGGCATTTGACTGCTAACCAGAGGGCTGGCAGTTCATACCCACCAGCCACTCCTTGGAAGGAAGGTTGGGCAATCTACTTTCGATAGTGATACCACCTCAGAAACCCAAGGAGGGGTCGCTATGAGTTGAATCTGACTCGAGAGCAGTGAGTTTAGTTTTATTGTTTAGATCTAAAGGCTAATGGCAAAATTGTTCTGAAATGGTATACACCTTAATAGAAGGATAGATTATTAAAAGATGGGTGGGAATGTGAATCACTTTCCTAAGTATTTATTATATGACATTGAAGTATAAAGGAGCTCTGGTGGCGTGTGCCTAAGACATTTGACTGCTAACTAGAAGGTTGGGGGTTCAAACTCACTAGCCAATCCACAAAGGAAGACGAGGCAACCTACTTCTGTAAAGATTTACCACCTCGGAAACCCAATAGGGGTTGCTATGAGTCAGAATTGACTAGATGGCAGAGGGTTATTGAAGTAAAAAAATAGCACAACCTAGATGCATCCTCTGTGTTATCATTCTTGGTGCTATTGGCCTTTAGGCTAAGGGACAAGGTCATCTATGGCTCCTGGGCAGTAGCAGTACAAAGTAGAAGATGGAAGATGAAGAATTTTAAGTCTACAGGGGCTGAAGGTTTCCATTTCTGTACATCCTCAGAATATGTACATTATGCTAGCAAGGAGGTGATTGTGGAGAGAAGCACCAGTAGGGCATACAATCCATGTCAGAGTCCAGGATTTCACCTCAAATTAGAGAGGAGGACTGATAAAAAATCAAGTAGGTTGAGTTATTATCTAGAGATCTAGCCTGGGAAGCAGAGCCCAGGCAGAAGTATAGTTGGAGTATACATGTGGGTGCTGGTAAGGTTTATATAGGTTTCAAATGGACCATGAATAAACAGGGGAGAAGTGGGACTCTGTGTGGTTTCATTTATTCATATGACTAATGATACCACTGAGTCTATTCTGGAGCCAACTATTTAGCACTCTACTTGGAAATGGCACCACTCGTATGTCAATTTGTCATACGCTGGTGGCTTGTGTGGTGCTGTGAGGCTGGAGGCTATGCTACCAGTATTTCAAATACTAGCAGGGTCACCCATGGTGGCCAGGTTTCAGTAGAGCTTCCAAACTAAAACAGACTGGGCAGAAGGAAGGGGCCATCCACTTTTCAAAGAACTGGCCAGTGGAAACCTTATGAATAGCAATGAAACACTGTCTGATGTATTACTGGAAGACATTACAAATAGCCCTGAAACATTGATATAGTGCTGGAAGATGAGCCCCTCAAGTCAGAAGGCACTCAAAATACAACTGGGGAAAAGCTGCCTCCTCAAAGTAGAGTTGACCTTAATGACATGGATGGAGTAAGGTTTTTGGGGCTTCCATTTGCTGATGGGGAATGACTCAAAATGGAAAGAGAGAGCTGCAAACATCCATTAATAACTGGAACGTGGAATGTACTAAGTACGAATGTAGGAAAATTGGGAGTTGTCAAAAATGAAATGGAATGCATAAAGATCCTTGGTATTAGTAAGCTGAAATGGACTGTGTTGGCCATTTTTGAATCAGATAATCATATGATCTACTATGCTGGGAATGACTAATTGAAGAGGATTGCTGTTGCATTTACCATCACAAAGAATGTTTCAAGATCTATCCTGAAGTACAATGCTGTCAGTGATAGGATAATATTCACACACCCACAGTCCAAGACCAGTTAATGCTACTGTTATTCAAATTTACACACCAACTACTAAAGCCAAAGATGAAGAAATTGAAGTTTTTTTTTTTTAGCAACTTTTGCAGTCTGAAATTGACCAAATATGCACTCAAGGTGTACTGATGATTACTGATGATTGGAATGCAGAAGTTGGAAACAAAGATAGTTGTAAAATATGGCCTTGGTGATGGAAATGACACTGAAGATCACATCATAGAATTTTGCAAGACCAGTGACTTATTCATTGCAGATACCTTTATTCAACAACATAAACAATAGTTATACACATAGATGAATACACAAGAATCAGATCAAATACATCTGTGGAAAGAGGTGATGGAGAAGCTCAGTATCTTCAGCCAAAAGAAGGCCAGGATCTGAATGTGCAACAGACCATTGATTTCTCATTTGCAAGTTCAAGTTGCAGCTGAGTTAAATCAAAACAAGCTCATGAGAGCCAAAATATGACCTTGATTATATTCCTCCTGAATTTAGAGCCCATCTGAAGAATAGATTTGATGCATTGAGCACCAGTGACCAAAAACCAGAGCAGTTGTGGGATGACATCAAAACCATCATAAATGAAGAAAGCAGAAGGTCATTAAAAAGATTGAAAAGGAAGAAAAGGCAAAAATGTATGTCAGAAGAGACTCTGAAACTTGCTATTGAATGGAGAGTAGCTAAAGTAAATGGAAGAAAAGATAAGATAAAAGAGCTAAACAGAAGATTTCAAAGAGCAGCTTGAAAAGACAAAGTCAATTATTATAAAGTATATCAGAAAGATGTTTCTTGTGTTTCATTGAATATACAAAAGCATTTGACTGTGTGGACCATAACAAATTATGGATAACATTGAGAAGAATGGGAATTCCAGAACACTTAATTGTGCTCATGAGAAATCTGTACGTAGACCAGGAGGCTGTCATTCAAATAGAACAAGGGGATACTGCATGGTTTAAAGTCAGGAGGGAGTGTGTCAGGGTTGTATCCTTTCACCATACTTGTTCAATCTGTATGCTGAGCAAATAATCTGAGTAGCTGGACTACACGAAGAAGAAAGTGGCATCAGGATTGTAGGAAGACTCATTAACAACCTGAGATATGCAGATGACACAACCTTGCTTGCTGAAAGTGAAGATGACTTGCACTTACTGATGAAGATTGAAGACTACAGTCTGCAGTATGGATTACATCTCAACATAAAAAAAGTGCAAATCCTCACAACTAGAGCAATAAACAGCATCACAATAAATGGAGAAAAGATTGAAGTTGTCAAAGATTTCATGTTACTTGATCCCACAATCAACACCAACGGAAGCAGCAGTCAAGAAATCAGATATCGTACTGCACTTGGGAAATCTGCCGCAAAGAACCTCTTTGAAGTGTTGAAAAGAGCAAAGATTCCACTTTGAGGACTAAGGTGCACCTGACCCAAGACATGGTATTTGCAGTTGCCTCATATGCATGTGAAAGCTGGACAATGAATAAGGAAGATTGAAGAAGAGTTGATGCTTTTGAATTGTGGTATTAGTAAAGGATAATGAAAGTACCATGGACGGTCGTGTTGTCAGAAGGGACCATTCCCTGGAGAAGGATATTGTGCTTGGTAAAGTGGAGGGTCAGTGAAAAAGGGGAAGAACCTTAATGAGATGGATTGACACAGTGGCTACAAAGATGGACTCAAGTATAGCAAGGATTGTGAGGCTAGCACAGGCCTGGGCAGTGTTTTGTTCTTTTGTACATTAGATTACTATGAGTCAGAGCCAATTCAATGGCACCTAATACTATCACCACCAAGAACAACACTTGGATATGATGTCATGTAATCTCTTGGGTGTCAGTTTTTCACCACGGAAAATCAGTGTTGAGAGTCCTTGTGATTGCCACTGAAACACCCTCAGTGGACTAAATAGTGAGTTTTACCAATCTCAATAATCCTTAGAGTTGCATACACAGTATGCCAAGGGCTCTGCTGGTCATTACACAAGACCAGAGATTCAAATAGGGGCTTGATGGCTATTCCTGGGCTCTCCCTGCCAGTTATTGCAAAGTTTTCTGAGATGCTTAGCACTTTTCATATGTAATTGGAAGGATTCACAAGCATTGCACATCATGGGAAGGTGGTGTTGTTTGGAGTATGTGTGGGTGTAGTGGGGGCAGGAGAACATGGAGCAAAGGGTCCATTTTTATGCCTGCCAAGAGTCTGTTGTATGGAGAGTTCTGGCAAGATGGCGGACTAGGCAGAAGGATTGCACAGACCCTCTTCAACAAAGAAAAGGGAAACCAATTAACACAGACACAGAAGATAATCGTGGACCCCTGAGCCTTGAAGGGAAGGATACAGAATTGGACTAAAC